GACCGCAGTGTGTCAGAGCCAAATTGCAGGATTGGAAAAATGATGTATGTATGGATTCTCTCTTATTGTTAGTTCTGCATGGGGTGTAAGTGCAGCTGTTGGCAGGCTGCAGGTGGTGTGGGTTGTTCCTGCAAGGCGAGGGCAAGAACTGTGAAGTGCTTTTTCTACCGCAGTCTCCCTGTTCGCTGCCAACCGTACACACAAACGCACACACATACACACCTTGTGCTACTCGTACTCGCTGTCAAGGCCAATATTCAAGCCCACAACTCACCCTGAGCCATTGTCAAATACACATTTTAGAGTCAAGGGGGATCTAACACCACCAGTGTCGTTTATTATCTAAGTGGATACGATTATAGGTTGATTTGGACTATTCCTAACAGACGACGGATCAGTTTAAAAACACACATTCATTCTTTTTTACCCCTGCGGTTCGATTGATCACCTCCGCTCAGGTTTGCGCACATGCTGAACATCTGTACAGCCATTATGCCTTTGAACAAAGTGAAGTCTTCAAATGCGGTAATTATACTGTAACCGGTTGTTGAGAAAAAGCCCAGCTCCGACTTCATCTACACCCACAGCAGGTGATGCATCATACCTTTACACTTTTTGACAAGAACCTAAAACGTATCTCTCAAAAGAGGGCATGTATTGTGTGTCTCTTAACTGATATTGTTCCTCAGATGAGCAGAGCGGAATCACATTCTTGTTCTCTTGCCTCCAGTTATATTGAGCGTAGTGTTATCAGCTGACCACCCGTTCACTCCTCGGTCCTGCTCTCTGCATCTGTTTCTTCTGCACTGTTGCCCACTCACTGGCACTCAGTCTCTGTTGTGCGTTTTGCAGTCAAGTAATTAATGAAAGACTTTTTCTCCCTCAATGGGTGAGTCACAGGCTTTCTGCTGGAGCGCTCTGGAGTAATGAGATATGGAGAAAAGGACTGCAATAAAGAGGAGTGGAACATCGCTATATCACTTTCACATTGAGTTGAATTTTGTCTGTTAGGACAGACTGTGTCTTTGAAATTCTATTACTAGGAATATGGACATGAACAGACTTGTGTATAGTCCATATATTATTTTGAAAGAATTGTATTGTTTAAGCCAAGCAAAGATTGGGGCTTTCTTATAGAGAGTTTTTTACTTCAGAATGTTGTATTTATTTCAATATGTTGTTTGCCATTTCATTACTTAATTGTGAATTTCACTAGAAATTTAAGAGTGAAAATTGTTTCCACATTTTTTTTTTTGTGTTGTGATTATCTTATGCATACATTAATAATTATAAATATTAATCATTATATGTTCTTATGTCAGCTGCCCATATTCAGTTTGTCTTGATATTACTATTACAAATTATAATGAGAAGAATATAACAAAAGTACATTGTTAACTGTACATGGTACGGTAGCAATTTAATGTCCTTGCACAGGCAAAAAGATATGCTTTAAAAAGTCTTTGAAGCAGCATCAAAAGAAACAAACAATTCGTTGGCTGAACATCATTATTGTGTATTTCAGTAAAGCAGCACATGCATAAAAATCTCTTTGTTTTCCAATATCAAGGGTGCTCTCTCAGCACTGCAGACCAGTGGGGATTTCTTTCTTTCCTTTTTTTTTCTGACTTGACCCTTGTGGTGACACTAAGCTTTGTGCTTTACATGAACTTGGTAGATTTATTAATGGCGTTTTGAATTTTAATGGCATTAACTTGAATTTAAACAATAGTAAAATATCTTACAAATGATTAAAGTAAAATAATTGCATACTGTATGTATCCAGTCAGTGGTGGAACTTTTTAGCTTTGTCATTCTTTCCAATCAGGCAAGAAGTTTGCAGATAGGTCATTAACTAATTATTAATAGAAAATGTTCCATAAAGTGCATCTTTTTATTTATTTATTTATTCCAAAAGATCTAAATTTTAGTTTGTCCATTTTGTTGTTGTATGCATACTGTACTTTTTAAATCACATTTTTATCCATTGTATCATGATTTGACCCTTTTAAGTTGATGGGCTTGTAACCAGTTGGGTGGTATCATTACCAGCATCCAGCTACATACAGTGTTTAAGCTTGTCTGACTCAAAGCTGTTAATGTCCATATCTAACTATCATATTTTTCTACCTCAATCACGTGGATGCAGTTTTAATCGTGTGACTGTGGCCTTCTTCACAGGTTGTGGACTGCTCTTGGGATGAGACTGTAAAAGTCTTCACCCCTTCATGCCTGGCTGCCCTATAGGAGGTTGGTACACCATGGAAAGATGTTGCCGCAAAGCACAGGGGAGCCAATCACAGGTGCAGAGTTTGCTAAGATTTCACTGCGGATTTCCTAATGACGCTATTAAAGGAGAACCCGTGGGATGCATCAGGAGCATTGCGTCAGGAGCACTGTACAGATGAGGGGCAATCTCATGCTGTCACTGAGTGTAAAAACGGAGTGTGAAGTTATTATTCTTAAGTGTATAATCAAACTAAAAGTTTACCTTAAAGGGATAGTTCACCCAAAAATGAAAATTCTGTCATTAATTACTCACCCTCATGTCATTCCAAACCCGTAACACCTTCGTTCATCTTCGGAACAGAAATTAAGGACAATGGTAGAACGTAGTAAGGACAATGGTAAAACAGTCCATGTGACATCAGTGGTTCAACCGTAATTTTATGAAGCTCCGAGAATACTTCTTGTGCACAAAAACAAAAATAACAACTTTATTCAACAGTCCTTCTCCACTAAATCACGTCTTCCGCCATTATCGAGAGTACCTCGGCATAAACATAAACAACGCATACGCGTGATGCTGATGACGTGGAACACACATGCGCTGAGCCTTGTTTACGTGTAGAGGAAAGCGTTGTGGTACTCTCATAATGGTGGAATACATGATTTGGGGGACAAGAATTATTAAATAAAGTCATTACTTTGCGCACAAAAAGTATTATCATAGCTTCTTAAAATTACAGTTGAACCACTGATGGACTATTTTATCGATGTCCTTACTACGTTATGGTCTGTGAACATTTCAGTTACGCCATTATCGAGAGTACCTCGGCATAAACATAAACAACGCATACGCGTGATGCTGATGACGTGGAACACACATGCGCTGAGCCTTGTTTACGTGTAGAGTAAAGCGTTGTGGTACTCTCATAATGGTGGAATACATGATTTGGAGGACAAGAATTATAAAATAAAGTCATTACTTTGCGCACAAAAAGTATTATCATAGCTTCTTAAAATTACAGTTGTACCACTGATGGACTATTTTATCGATGTCCTTACTACGTTATGGTCTGTGAACGTTTCAGTTATACATTGCTGTCTATGCAGGGGCAGAAAGCTCTTGGATTTCATCAAAAATATCTTAATTTGTGTTCCAAAGAGGCTTATGAGTTTTGAAAGGCATGAGGGTGAGTAATTAATGACAGAATTTTCATTTTTGGGTGAACTATTCCTTTAAGCAGCGAGTGCCTTGTTGTCTGAAGCTCATTGGTAGATTATGTAGTATGTATATGTTGTTGTTCCTTACTGGTTTGTTAAACTGATATTAATAAATCAATGCAATCTGTCATTTTCAACTGAAGTCAAATCCTGAGCCTTCCTTTTAATCTAATTAATATTGCATACCACACAGAGTTTTATTTTAAATTTTTAAAGCTTTAAGAGTCGTATAATGTTATGAATAAGTACTGTGCTTGTATAACCTGTACAGTGAGGGAATCAATTATGGTTTTTCGATATATAAATGAATATCATATTGATGTACACTGTAAAAAATTACCGTGAATTTAACAGTAAAAGACTGTAAAAATGCTACAGAAAAACCTGTTAAATGGTTAACGGTAAATTCCCCTACTATATACGGTGAAAAAACGGTATTGGACATTACATGTAATTTTACGGTAGTATACCTTTTTTTGTTGAAATAACTATGTTTCTTCTTAGTTTTTTCTTATCAGTTTTGTAAATTAAGGTTGTGTGTTACACCTAATGTTGGTAAATGAATGTTTATTGCATTATTTCATGTGTGTCACCATGATGGTGTTTAGTGTTTGTGTGAATGACACTGCACCTTCTATATATGCTATTATTTAAAAGCTGCTTGTGATGGGCTTTTGGTTCATCGTGTGACTTTCTCATCACCTCCCGCATTGGGTGGTTATCAGTGTATTACAAAGGTACAAAACAGATTTCAGTACTTCAATAGGTTGGTATATTAACATTATATCAGTTAATAAATTTACAGTTAAATACCGTAATTCTAAGTTAAAACCTAAAACGTCGCTACCATATTTTTTACGGTAAAATTACGTTTTTTTTACCGTAAATTGTACAGAATTTTTTTTACAGTGTAACATTTTATATATACTAGCCTAAATATTATGCATTCATATCACATAAATTGTATAGTGGCTGTCAGGAATTTTACAGTGGCTTGTTTTTGTGAGCCAAATGACCTTGAATCACCAGAACTGATTTGAAGCCTTTGAAATTGTAAACACAAACTTTGGAAAGGCGAACTGGGACTTTAGGGATAATGCTTAAATTTTCCATAGGATTAAAGGGGGTATAGCAGTGCCAGTTATACGATGACTTTCAAGGAGTTTGTACAGGAAATTCTATACGTGAAACAAAAAAAAACACTTTTTTTATCAAATTAATTCGTCTGGGTTAAATAAGAGAGAAAAACGAAAGCTAAAGCTGCGTGCCGTTATTGGCGAACGCGCATTCTGTTCTCCAGCTTTACATTTTTTTTAGCTGGCATATTTTTAGCTGGCTACTTCAAAGTAAATGGATTGGCTGCAGTTGACTCCAATTCAATCTCTGTGCAAAGAAAGAGACGGTGGGAGCTGCGGCGCGTCGCATTCATTCAGCAGCGCTCGTGTTGCGTGAATTACGCACAAGAGGAGAGTGGACGTGAATATTCAGCAGTGGACTCAGAGCTCAGTGCGTAATACGGAGACGCCGGGAACCCCCAGTCTACGAGGAAAGGCATGGAAGTTTGCAAAGGACGTTTGCTGGGCATTTCGGTGGCCGTTGCACATGGATTTTTTTCGGGATCGCTGAATATTTTGTTAAAATTCCTTATTACGACCTACAGCTTTACGTATCTGACTTTAATTCAGTGTCTGACCAGCGGCACTGCGGCTCTCACATTAGAGGTGCTGAGGAGACTGGGCAAAATAGATATACCTCCCTTCAGCCTCCAGTTAGTCAAAGTTTTTGCGAGTGTCTGTATTTTGGCAACTTTGCAGTCCACATTAACCCTCTGGTCTCTCAGGGGATTGAGCTTGCCCATGTATGTTGTGTTTAAGCGATGCTTGCCCTTGGTAACGTTGGGGATTGGAGTGTGCGTGCTGAAGAACGGGCTCCCATCAGCTGGGGTAATAACAGCAGTTCTCATCACCACTGGAGGAGCAGCACTGGCTGGTAAGAATATTTTGGGTCATTTATAAATACCATCATAGTTTTTGCTTCATGTTGAGGTATAGCCCAATCACACTTTTCACTCCAGTTAACATTTCTCTAAGTCAACTTCTGTAGACACATACCTTAAAGCCTTGGCTTCAAAGAATACCTATGAACATTTTCATCGCTATTTCCAGGGGAAAAAAGATCGGTTTACCACTAGTGGGGCATGTTGTCACGGAACTTGAACATGTTAAAAACAAATACTGTAATTAATACATTTGTAATATTTAACACATATGAAAACAATAATGTGACATTTATTGACAATAAATGAAAACCTAGTCCTGCGAACACAGTTTAGCATTTGAGTACAAACTTCATTATGACTCGTCTTTTATTGTGCTGCTGTGCTGCAAAAATATTTCGATTTTTTTTTCTTTTAGTTTTGAGAATAAAATCATAGATTTTTCCAATTTAAGAAGGTTTTGAACTAGATGAATCCAACATAGGAAAAAAAACCTTCTAGACAAAACGCCATTGTGACAACTTGCCCCGGTTTGATAACTAGCCCTCCATTAAGTCTTCCCATAATTATATTATACTAATAATCTGTTTTGAACTGCTTCTGAAAATAAAAGCAAATTAAGCAAATAAAAGTAGCCCAAATCTTGCCCTGTTGCTGGTTTGTCCATTGTATGATACTTAAACATGTGCTGTTGATATTCTGGACTATCCATGTCATGTCTCCATAAAACATGGCTCTCATACAGAGTTGCATCTGATAATGGCCATAAATCATGTATGGCGCAGTCTCTGTTTAACTTGTTTTCGTGCAGGTGCTGGAGATCTAACAGGTGACCCTTTCGGCTACATGACTGGCGTTTTAGCTGTGATCGTCCACGCCTCCTACTTGGTGCTCATCCAAAAAGTGAGTGCAGACAGTGATTATGGGCCGCTCACAGCCCAGTACACCATTGCAGTGGTGGCCTCTCCCGTTCTCTTCATCTGTTCCCTTGTAAGCATGGACGCCATTGACATGTGGACATACGAAGGTTGGAAGAACCCGTATATCACAGGCATCTTCTGCACCTGCATCCTCATCGGCTGTGCGATGAACTTCACCACACTACACTGTACCTATATCAACTCGGCCGTCACCACCAGCTTTGTGGGGGTGGTCAAGAGTATAGCTACTATCACTGTGGGCATGCTGGCCTTCAGTGACGTAATGCCAACCAAACTGTTCGTGGCAGGCGTGGTAGTTAACACTTTCGGCTCCATCACCTACTGTGTGGTGAAGTATCACGAAACCAAAATGAAGTTAACCTACCAGGATATGGATGAGTCTGCTAAGGATAAAGAACTTCCAGGAGAACCTTATGTGGAACCAGCCAAGCCTGATGGCGATATGGAAACTCTTCCAAATGATCTGGAGAGTGTTCCCAATGGCAGCATGACGGCATCAGTTGACGGCATTGACCAGGGTCCCATTCGTGAGAATAAAGTGGCAGAATCCATAGAATTAGAAAGACCGGGGATCCCATCAGAAGATCCTACGAGACAATCTCTGAGCGACAGTTACGTAGGGGTCTGGAGATCCATTCGCACCTTAAAGTTCTTTAAGAAAGACACTTTACTTGACAACATGGAGGTTCAAAGTCCTTGATGATTGGTTTTCTGCTTGGCAGAAGTGCATGTTAAATTGAAGTATTGTTGAACTGATGGTGTGAACAATGTTTGCCTTTTTCTCTTCTGAACATGATTTTATGAAAAACATGTATTTTTTATAAAAAGGTATAGGCTGTTTGTATATTAGAGGGAGTATATGACATTGAGGAATCCCCAATAACAGATGTGCCAATTTACTGACTTAAAATAAAATATCCTATTGTTTCAGAATCGGTTTAAAATTACTTTGGGGGAAAAAATCTAATATCTTAATAGAGATGGTCTACTCAAAAATGACAATTCTATCATCATTTACTTATCTTCATATCGTTCCAAACCTGTATGACTTTCTTTGTTCTGTGGAGCATAAAAGATTATATTTTGAAGAATGTTGGTAACCAAACAGTTTGAGTTCCCATTAACTTCCATTATGTGGACAACAATGGAAGTCAATGGGAACCAAAACCGTTTGGTTACCAAAGTTCGTCAAAATGTCTTTTTCTTTTTGTGTGTGTTTGAAACGTCATGAGGGTGAATAAATTATGACAGAAGTTTTATTTTTGGGTGGACTATCCCTTTAAATGAATTAAATTGTTTTGTTTGATTATTTATGTTTCTATGCACGCAGTGTCTGTGCCTGTATATTTTCTGTGTTTTGTCTACGAATGCAAATCTTGAATAGGAGGTATTGAATTTTCCCATTTGCATGTAGTATGCACAATTAATTTAAACTGATTTTACATCAAAATTCTGATCTGTGCGTATCATCTTTAATAATGCCCACCAACTGCTTTAGCTCGAAGAAAGTATGCAATCATTTAGAATCATCTAGCAATCTGAGAGATGGTTTGCTTGTCAGTAATTCACAAGTGGTGGGTCACGTCCAAGAAATGAGTTGCTGTTCAGACATTAGGAAAGAACAGTATTTTATCTAAATAATCAAATGCAACTGATCATATAATCATGCGGGTAAGACAGGAAAATACTTAAAGCAATTTTTAAAAGGGAAGTGCTTCCTGTATGTTTTCTTGTATTTTGCCAAAATAGACAGGTTATGTGACATGAAGTAATTCTCATAAACTTCAGTAAATTTTCAAGGTAGAAGAAAATACAACCTATATTGAAAACAGATTCACTTGCAACAAGGATAAGGTTTGAGCTGGTCATAATGTTTTGTGTTGTGGAATATTGTCTTTTGAAAGCATGAAATCGAGAGACAAGAAAAAGTATTTTGGGGATCTGATCACATCAGAACAAATAATCAAAATATATTGTAGTGTTTGGTTTTGGGACATTTTGATTTACTTTTACAAACACTTTTACACACACTTGCCATTTGTTGTTTTACAATCTCACACAGCTGAGGACCTCTGCATTAAATTAAAGTCAATATCTATCGAGCTTGTGTTAGCTGACTTTACCAAATGTAATGTTTGATGCATTTGATTGGGTTCTTATCAGCAAAAGCAGACCATCATCAAAAGCCGATTCTTTAGGCATTGTTAGACTACTGTAAATGCAAAACATAATGAAATGTATTTCTAAATATAGAAGTCCTACATCATTTTTTATGTAACACAGTGAACATGCCTCTTTAGTGTACTTGTCAAAATGAGAGTCCATCAGTTGCTTTCACAGTCAGCACTTTAAAGCAATAGTTAACCCAAAATGAAAATCTGCTGAAAATGTACTCAGTCTCAGGCCATCCAAGATGTAGATGAGTTTGTTTCTTCATTGGATCAAATTTGGAGACATTTAGCATTACATCACTTGTTCACCAATGCATTCTATATATGCAATGAATGGGTGCCGTCAGAATGAGAGTTCAAACATCTGATAAAAACATCACAATAATCCACAAGTAACTCCAGTCCATAAATTAATTATTTTGGGAAGTGAAAAGCTGCATCTTTCTAAGAAACTTATCTACATCTTGGATGGCCTGAGGGTAAATTTTCAGCAAGTTTTCATTTTGGGTAAGCTATTTCTTTAACGCCACGATAATGCATCTAAAGCTGCCTTTCAAATCCTCATTTTTTTTGGTTTGTTAGTAGCATTCATTATTCTCAGTCAGACAAGCATCTTTATGAATAAATGTAAACCAGACTTTAGACCTCTCTGAACAGTATTATTTACTGTTGCACTAGAGCAACAGAGGTTTACTATATAGGGAACATTCATGTTACACTCCCCATGGCTTTCCATTTAAAAGGATCTTTGCCTGACAATGAACAAGTAAAAGCAAATAAACTTCTCATGAGTACCAGGTGCTTTTGTTATAATTTTTCAGTTATAATAGATGGCACAGCATGGAGTATTATCTCCTTTATTTTGCTCAAGGCATATACAAAAGACAATTTGCCAGACAATAGCACAAGCCCTCAGAGCCAAATGTATAAAAAGTTAATGCCATGCTTGAAGCCATGCGTGGAAAAGAAATTTCATGAAGCATTTGTTTGTTTTTTGGTTTTATGTTCCCATTCTTAATAGCCTATGATTTATTGCCAGTTTGATTTAATATTCAATGGTCAAACATATTTCCAGGAAATATTGCTCTTTAGATTAATGGCAACAGCTGATTTCAACATTCAGTATCACAGCGATATAAAATGCATGACATCTGTATTTTATATTTAGGTATACATTTTGTTTTAAATAGGAATTTAATGCATTTGGTTCACTGCGAAACATGCTTCTCCTCTAATATTTTCTAATAATTCTTCTTCCTTTAATCAGCACATTTAAATCTTGGATTTGCATATCTTAATCGGACTGGAGTTGACTTCGTTGCCTTTAAGTAGGTCTCTCTCTCTCTCTCTCTCTCTCTCTCTCTGAGTAGCTTGAACACTCGAACAAAAGCTTGAAAAATGTCAGCCTGCAGTGAAGCACACAAATAAATAAATATATAAAAGCATGGACACGGGCCACTTGGTTATCTAGACTTGCCTTTGGCACAACAGAACGTTTAAGAAATATGATTTCCACAAACCCAACAAGTTCATTCAGCAACTCCCATGATTACATGATGCCATCTACTGGACATAGGTAAGTGTTTTGCACTTGTTTACATGAAATTGGCGAGTTTTTTACACAACCAAAGTGATGTTGTGTAGCACTACATTAAATAACAATGAAGTAACAAATATTATATAATGCTTAATAGACCGAACATGTATGCACATCAAACGGCCTATATGTTTAAAAATACGTAACTATTTCAGTAGTCTACATAAAATGTGGGCTATTGTTTCCAATCTTTTCTTTTGACACCTAACGAAACAGGGGGAACTCGTTATTAAAATGGCCAGTGTTATTTTAGTACTATTTATATAAAACAATAATTTTAATATTTTGAATTCGTTTTTTTTTCTTTATTTGTCATTTTTCATATTAAAGAGGTCATATGATGCGATTTCAAGTTTTCCTTTCTCTTTGGAGTGTTACAAGCTGTTCGTGAATAGATAAGATCCCTGAAGTTGCAAAGACTAAAGTCTCAAAACCAAAGAGATATTCTTTATCAAAGTTAAGACTCTGCCACGCCCCCTAAAACGGCTCGTTCTAACACGCCCCCACATGTCTACGTCACTATGTGGAAATATGTGCATAATGCGCCCAAATGTGCACGCAAAGAAAGAAGGCGTGGTTTCAGTAACTGCGGGAAACATTTGGGCATAAATTACTAAATAAAAAACTGAACTAAAACTAAAATAGCAATAAATGAAACATAAATAGTAATATTCAAATAATTAAATATGGTTTTATTTAATTATTTGAATATAACTATTTATGTTTAATTTATTGCTATTTTAGTTTTAGTTCAGTTTTTTATTGAGTAATTTTAGTGCCTCAGCTTAAACTTATTTCATTTGTATTATTATTTTAATCTAATATGTGTATTTTATTTCAGATTTATTTTCATTAACAAAAAAAATGACAGTTGTTTGTCACTGTAATGCAATTATTTGTAATAATCATACAAAATGTTATTATATTTTAATGTATCTATTTAGTATGAAAAATGTTCTAGCAGTGTTTTAAATGTTGAGAAACTCTGGAGAGTGAGAAGAATTGAAGAAAAAAAAAAACACAGAAAAAAACCAACGAAAACGCACGCAGTCAGTTTTGTCCCTCTACGGACGCTGTAGCTTAGCTTAGCTTTACTTACGTTTGACGTCAAACTAACCGGTGATTTTCAAATCCGAGCGCGTATTTCAGCGTCTCTGAAGTTCTTATCTAATGTAACGTTAACTGTTAATTCAAATTATTTACATTATCTATATAAGTCATATTACGAATTATGAATTGACTTTTGATATTTAGTTTAATCGGTTGTGTACAGCGTGATTAACGTAAACTTGTTTGAAACGTTTGTCGTTTTGTCTTACAATGTAAACAAAAATATGACGATCTTTTATTGTTTAATTTTAGAGAAATGGAGGCCAACAAAGATTCACCTAGTGCCTTTAAAACGCCTTGCAAGCCTGCAAAAGTGAAAAGTCCAGGTAAAGTGATCTTTAAATGTCTGATACTTTGATTGTAATGCATCTAGCTACACGCTACATTGTCTTTCTCATTATCAAGATGGTTTATATATATATATGTGTGTGTGTGTGTTTGTGTTTGTGTTTGTGTGTGTGTGTTTGTGTGTGTGTGAGAATCATTATTATACTCATACCTTTTGTTCTTTTAACCCTTTAACTGTCACCCGTCCCCTCTGTGGGACGCCTACATTTACTTCACTATATTACAATTAAATCCTAATCTAATCATGACAAACTATATATCGTTGGAAAGATTTAAGACTCCTAAATAGATATTTTACCAATGTATTTGTTAAAAATTATGTAGGAAAAGTAATAGATTAGTTTTTGACAAGAGTGCACCTCAAAAATCTACATCATAACAGGAGTTCTGACCTTGTATCTATTTAGTATGAAAAATGTTCTAGCAGTGTTTTAAATGTTGAGAAACTCTGGAGAGTGAGAAGAATTGAAGAAA